GTCTTACAACTACCTTGTACTACTGTTCTGAGTGAATGTAAACACTTCTAATGTTACTAGTAGTTCTAATAAAGGTAACTAGTTGTTCTTCTTTGACTAGGATAAATATGTGGACACATATTCTAGTTAAGACAGAATAGAGTTGATTTAAAGAATGTCTAAGACAGAACCAGTCTAGAACTCTCTCAGAACAACTCTACTCTAGAACACATGTAGACCTAGCCTGCCAGATTTTGTTCAAGAGTTCTCTAAAGTCTTTAGTAAAGAGGAATTTAACTAGCTTCCTAAACACTATTCTTAGAACTATACAATTGAATTAACTAAGGGTTTCTAACTTAAGAATTGTAAGGTCTACTTACTCAACAGAGACAAGTAGGAGGTGCTTGATGAGTTCCTTCAGGAAAATCTTTAGAACAGCTGGATCCAACCCTTAAAGTCCTTTATAGTCTCCCCTTTCTTCTTTGTTAAAAAGAAAGATAAGAAGCTCTACCTAGTCTAGGATTATTATTATCTTAATAAGAGTACTGTTAAAAACAAATACCTACTCTCTCTAATTCAGGAGCTTATTAATAAGACACATACATCTAGGGTTTTTACTAAGTTGGATATTTAATAAGGATACAATAATATTCAGATCTAAGACAGAGATGAGTAGAAGGCTACATTCTAAACCAATTATAGACTGTACAAACTGACTATAATGTTCTTCAGACTAACTAACTTGTCTACAACATTCTAGTCATTCATAAATCACATCCTTACAGATCTGATTAACTTGAAACATGTTAGTGTGTATCTAAACAACATTCTAATCTTTACCTAGACAGTCAAGTACTATTACTAACTAATCTGAGTAGTTCTATAATAGCTCTAAGATAATAAACTGTTTCTCTAAAAAGTAAAGTACTCTTTTGTACAGGAGTCAGTAGATTATCTAAGCTTTGTAATTAGTAGAGAAGAGGTTTGTATGGATTTAGTAAAGGTAACTATAGTTTAGAACTAGTTACAACCTTAGAACCTGAAACAGGTCTAAACATTCCTTAGGTTTGTAAACTACTACTAATACTTTATTTAAAGCTTTAGTACTATTACCTAACCCTTTCACAATCTTACTAGTAAAGATGTTCCTTAGTAATAGGATAATTAGTAACAGTCTGTATTTGAGTCCCTCAAGCAGACTATTACTAACAAGCTTGTATTAGTAGTTCTGACAGTTGTAGACAAGTTCTAAGTTAAAGCTAACTCTTCTAACTTTACAAATAGAGTAGTACTATCCTAGTTCATTAATAGAAAGTAGTATCTAATAGTGTTCTAATCAGAATCCCTCTTTACAACAGAACAGAACTATCTTATCTATAATAAGGAACTCCTTACAATTGTCTGTTCCCTAAAGGAGTAGTATTAATATCTCCTTAGTACTGTACAAAAGTTTAAGATTTAGAGTAATCACCTTAATCTCTAGTACTTTTAGGTGCCTCAGAAGCTTAACTACTACTAAGCTTGTTAAATGTTAGAACTGTAGAACTATGACTTTATATTGACTTACAAACTTAGAACACAAATGACAAAAGCTGATTTACTCTCAAGACAAGTAGGTTATAAAAAGAGAGAGAATGATAACAAAAATCTTGTTCTTCTAAACAATTTCTGTTTTGTGTCCAAGACAATCTGAGAGATCTGACTTGAATCTAAGAATGTTAACTTTGTCACTTATATACAGTAAGCTCTGAGACACACACAAGACTATATTATAGTAAAGTAGTTAGAGAAGCAGGCTAAGGATTAGGAGGAGGATAAGGATAGACAGGTTTACTAGAAAGACTGACTGTACATTCTAAAGGATCAGAAGCTGTAGGAGGACATTGTCTAAGCTCATTATAACAATCTGACTATAGAACATTTAGGCTAACACAAAATACAGAAACTCATTACTTGGAACTACTAGTAGTTAGGAATACAGAAGGAAATCCTAAAGTATGTGACTAGTTATAATATGTACTAACAGACTAAAGCTTACCAGACAAGGGTTTAGACTCCTCTACATCTGTATTAGATTCTAGATCACTCTTAGGAAGAAGTCTTAGTGAACCTGATTAGTAAGCTACCTAAGTCTTAGGGTTACAACACTATTTGTGTGATTATCAACTGATTCTCTAAACAAGTCCATATAGTTCTAACCTGAACAGAACTCACTTCTGAAAGTATAGTATACATTTATTAGGATTATGTTTTCTAGTTGTACAGACTCTCTCAGAAGCTTATTCACAATTGTAAACCATAATTTGAGTTGAAATTTATGTAGGACTTGTATACACTTCTCAGAATTCAAGAGAACCCTTCTACTACATATTACTTACAGACTGACAGTCAAACTGAGTGAGTCAATCAGAAGATCAAGCTCTACCTTCAGATGTTTATTAATTATCAGTAATCAGATTAGTCTGAATAGTTAGCTTTAACAGAATTTGTACACAATAACTAGTAATACTCTATAACAGGACAGTCCCTGTTCTTCCTCAATCATAGAAGACATCTGTATTAGGGGACAGTTCTAAACCAGAACAGTAGTTCTGAATCTGTAACAGACTTTGTAGAACAGATACACAGGACTAGAGAGGACACATAAGCTCTTTTAGAAAAGGTAGTACAAGTTATAAAGTAGAACTATGATTGGAAGAGGTCTGTAGCTAAGGATTACTAGCCTAGTAACAAGGTTATACTAGAAGCCACTAATCTGACCTTAGATTGTCTAATGAAGAAGTTGGACAACAAGTGCTTCAAACCCTTTGTTATTAAAAAGAAGGTTAGTACTTCTACTTACAAACTCTAACTTCTAGTAACATAGAAGTACATACACTCAGTGTTTAACAAGGTTCTATTGTCTTAGTACTACAATCCCAGTTTTCCTTCACAATAAAGACCCTTACTACCTCTACTAGAACTTATTAGTTCTGAACTAGAATACAAAATAGAGTATATAGTAAATACTAAGCTAGTATATAGAAAGCTTAAGTTCCTTATCTACTAGAAGGGATACTTAGTTAAAGAATGTACTTGGGAACCTGCTAAGAATCTTACCTATACTACTAAGACAATCTAAGACTTCTATCAACTTTATCCAGGTGCTCTGTATTAACTCTACCTTACAGATTTCCAAACCCTACTGTTCTAACTTATACTCAAACTACTAACCAAGTCTAATGTTTACTAATCAGGACAATTGGTTTTAGAGGAGGGGTGATGTTACAGTTCTCCACTCTTGTACCTTCAGTTCTAAGGACTTCTGTCCCTTAGGAGCACTGTTTATAGACTATATACATACTAACTCTTACTACTACCCTTCCTTACTTTATTATTCTATTCCTTTGCCCACCCCTTCATTCTTTGTTCATTCTATAGTCTCTTACCCTTTGTCCATCCCTTCATTCTTTGTGCCTTTATCTTTGACCTTCCTTTCTTTCATTCTTTGTAGCTTATCATTCTTAGTAGCTTATACTTCCTGAGTACTCTTGTGTAGTTTAGTATATATAAGTATACAAAATCAGACTAGTCCTGTAGTCTTGATCTTGTCTACTCCAGATAGTCCTGTACTCTTAGGCTTACTCTATATACTCTATTCTTGTCTCACTCTCTCTCTCCACCTGTTCTGTGAGTTCTGACTATATTCTGGTGCTTACATTCTGTATTTCTGTTGTGTAGGATAGTTGTAGCCTGGGTCCCCTCACTAAGCCTTCAGGTCCCCTCTACACTGTTGCTGACAGTTATAAAGAGAAGCTAGAACATGTAGTAATAGACTATGAAATGTGAATTATGTCAAGTAGGCACCAGGCAGGGTAGTGCCTTATTTATATTCCTTGTATCTAAGTTTCAGTATTCTGGAATAATACTACAGAATACATTATCAAAGATAAATCATAGAGTACTTGAAGGCAAATAGCAACCAAACATAAACAATATATCTCTCAGGGACAAGGTGATACAAGAACACTAATATCAATTATATTCAGAAGTCTATAAATGTTACTTAGTAATGGTTGAAGTACAGATAGTAATACTAAAATATAAACACAATAAGTTATGTAAGAACATACTTATAGAAATAGATATTTCTGTACTGAAACAATATCCAGAAGTAAGCAACTATACAATAGTAAGACTACAAGAGGTAGCACAAACATTATCTAAGGCTAGAAGAGACAGATTTCCGCCATGTGACACTGACAACACGTCAAATTTAAGAAAATATTTCCCATTTTCTGCCTAAATTTATCTTACTGTCACCACTGCAAGCACACTAGACAAAACCCCGAAATCTGCTCTCTTGTATTAACCAGTAATGTTATCATAACCGTCTGCAAAGTAATGTAAACAAAGACAACAAGACTACAATTGTCCCAAAGTTGAAATGAAATAATGGTATCAATGCCCATTGTCCATACAAAATCAGTAGCCTCATAAACGAATGTAAGGATAAATAGATATATGACAACTGCCCAGGATAGAAATATATAAACCAAATATGAAATCCATAAGAAATGAAAAGATATTTCTGTGAGTGTTGTTAAATCAAATCATCATGCAGTCATTCAAATACCATCCCTATCACTGTATCGAGGCTCCTCATACTCATGAGCACCATCTTTCGTTCCCGTAAAATGCGGCACAGTCAATGGTACAGTCTGATAGCTCGAGCTAGGCATGAAGTGACGAGGCCCTTCACTCCTCTTGGACCGGCGGAGAAGTACGATGCTGATGATAATCAACGCAACGAGAAGCAAAATCGTTGCTCCCATAAGCCCCAAAGCAGCTGGAGCATATGTGCTCACAAGCATCGAGATCTTATCAGTGGAAGAAGATGAGTCCGAGTCGCCACTGAGCGCATCCAAGCTCTGTGCACTCTTCGATCCAGATCCCGAACCATACCCGTTGCCGTATCCACCATAGCCAGAGTAACTCGTTGCAGGCGGTGAAGTCAAGTTGCCGAACGGATTAACGAATCCAGTCCCATTCTTCTGTACCGCAAGCTGCTGGAACGCCGCAAACGACTTGTCGGAGAACGGATTAGCATTGGCCGAAAAGACCATTCCAACTCCACAATGACTGAAATTCGCAGCTTGCTGCCTGCAGTACACCCAGATAGGGCTCGTATCGTTCACAGTAATAGTGAAGTTTGGGAAGTAAGTCGCATTAGCATCAACAGGATTGAAGTTGGAATCAAATCCATTGATCGGTGGATACGTCGTATCTGAAATCTTTCTGCAAGGATCATCGAAAGTCGACTGAGTAGCGGTATGGTTCTTCTGTCTGAACTCGAAAAAGACCTGAAGATTATAAATATTAATAAACAACAAGATTGTCAAGGAGATGCATCAGACTGTACCTTGTCTCCAACGTTAGCAGTGATGTTCGATGGTGAATATACAAACCCGGCGTCGCCACCAACGATAACAGTATGCGTCGCTGGGTAGGCAGCCGAAGTCGACGCAGGCGCTCCAGGCCAATATGCTGAAGCACTTGAACCATCTTCAATAGTGGTGGTTTCAGTAACTGTCTGTGTCACCGTAACAGTCTCAGTATCCACTGATCCCCAGCTACTACTTGTGCTAGTGTACTGGTATGTAGTCGTAGTAGTATTGGAATCCTGCACTTTTGAGGCCTTTGCATTCGCGAGGAACTTGTCGAACGTGTTTCCGGACGGTGGAGCATTCGCGGCAAAGACCATTCCCGATTGACAGTGTGTAGGGTTCGGCGGGTTGATTTGCTGACAGAATACCCAGATGGGGTTCGTGTCATTGACAGTCACCTCAAACGTCGGTAAGTAGCCGTATTCGTTAGCGACAGGTTGGCTATCATCATTAAACAAGTTCAGAAAAAAAGAAGTCGAGGGAGAGGAAGAGAACCCACAAATTCGAGTCAAATCCAATCAAGTTCCCATACGAATCCTTGAGTTTAGCGCAAGGTTCAGCAAAACTCGACTGCGTCGCCGTATGGTTCTTCACATGGCTGAAAGGTGTACATCAATAAGTAAATATGTTCATGGAACTCGTAGGTAGAAACTAACAAAGTAAAACGAAGAACATCTCCGACACCCGTCTGGATATTATTCGGGTAGAAGTTTAAGTTTGGCGTTCCATCCGCCTTCAAGCCTCCGACAGAAATTTCATGGACTGCTGCGAGAGCGAATGGAGCAAGGGCAAGAGATGAGAGGGTAGGGAATATCATCCGTGAGCGAATAATAGATGGAAATGAGCTCTGAATTGGTAGAAAACTACTAGAAAAGGAACGAAGGATGAGAAGGAATTGAGTGAAGTACGAACCTCCTAAGAGCAGTCTTATTTATACATATTCAGCATATCCAACACATTTCATCGCCTAGCCGAACTGACCGAGCCAATTCTGCACATGCAGTGTAAGGTCAGGACAAGAATGAGCTCTTGGTTGATGGTGGGCAGTTCGGAGTTCGAAGAACACAGCCACACCGGGCACACCGAGGTACGGTGCTCTCCCTGCAAGACTTTCGTGTCCGAGTTTGCCGTATCGTAGAGTCCTGCAGTACATCTGGTTTGCAGAAGTCAGAAACCAAAACTACTTCTAGTGGTTGTTGTTAACAGGAAAATTAATCTCCCCGTCGAACACTAGATATGCAGTCAAGAAAATAGCACAGGGTAAGTAGCACAGGGTATCGCGACTATTGTCGAACCGTGTTAGGCAATTCTTCTAGTAATAGAGAAAAGTTATAACGATACGAGATGAACATCGGCGAAACCTGGGCAGCGAGGAATGAATCTGCTGGTCACGATAGAAGTTAGAACAGAAGCCCAAGGAGATTGCGGCCAACACAGGAAGGCCAAGGCTCAAGCTACAAATTCGCGCCGCATCCATCAAATCTGCTTCACCGCCTGGGAAGGGCGATGAACAACCAGGGATGTAGCAGATGGAATGTAAGATGCCCTCCATCATCTCACTTGAAACGCCCACCCAACTCACTATTAATCAACCAATAAGACAGTAAGGCGTATGTAGTAAGTACCACAGACAACACATGTACTGTACATACACGCATTTGAGATGCTTCACACTGGTTGATAACGGTATTATCGAGAGATTCTGTGAATTTCCGACACAGGTAAGCCAGTGTTGTTTGAAGCGTTTGAGGTTGGATTTGCTACTGTCCACAGCGGCTGGGATACCCGATCAATCAGCAAATGTCCTGCAGTTCACACCTTTGTGGACATCATATTGTTCTACAGATGTAGTCTATGTGCACATTCTTGTGTTGCCAAAATTCGATAGACACAGTAGAATTTTAGAGCCTTAGCCGACAGAGTTTCGCGACTTGAGTCCTAAGTGCTAGTGTTCAGGCATAAAGAGAATATTGATTTCAGACAGTGACCCTGAGCAATTACATAGCATATTTCATTATGTAAAAACTTGTATTGGCAATGTTCCTGCCTGCCGCAATCAGTGTTGTTGTACTGGCAGGAATGACGAGTATACCATTCCTGTTTCTCATTACCATTCCAATTTCCTGCTGGGAATGATGGTGGGTAGACGGGAGAACTCTGTACAGAATCTCAGTTAATTGCCCTTATTTAGTAATTCCCAGCTTAATAAACTTAGAAAGTATGGCTAATTTCAATATTATGTGTGTTTATTACAAAAAAAATTGCTTCCTTTCTCATCACTGCCATCACCCCCCATCATTCCTGGTGGTATACTGTCTTCCCGCCGGTATACCATGGGAATCGACATCACTAGTACTGGGCTCACAATGCTATTAAGCGTCAATCAGCTTTCCACCCAAGAAAGCAACACGAAAGCAATCAAACATCGCCCATGAGGATGATTGATGCAGGGTCAATGATCCGCCTACGCCCGCTTACTGTCATTTTCATAAATATTGTCACACGCACGATTCGTGATTTTCGTCACACTAAGTACACTCAAATACAAAATCTATCATAACTCAACTAATACTTAACCAAATTACATGATCTAAGTTGTAAAAAATATACTTTTAAAGTGTCTTTCATATCCCAGAAAAAATAAAGT